TACTGACGTCACGACAGTATACATTGCAAGTTAAGCGTCCCTTATGTGATATCATTTTAGTGTGTCTTCTAACTGACTGACGGACAACACACTACTGTGCGAGTAATTAAAACAGGTGACTCCTCCAGGCGGCCTTTCGGGGAAATTACAACACACGTTAGCCGATTTTCTCAAGATCCGACTCATGCACAATTTTGAAGAGTATAAGTTAACCAGAACAATAGTTGGTCAAATGACACAAACTTTCTAACTGTCCATTTAAGTACAAAGGTTGAGTACGTTATACTTAAACGATTTTAGAGCCTCACCACGTCGCTACAGTCCATGCCACTTCGATACCCATATTATATCCGACGAAAGTGCATTTTGACAAGGGGCCTTAGCGTATTCTAGGTGGAATGGCATGAGTACCAGGTTCATTTTCCAGCTGCTTGAGAGATGCAACAATTGAACGGATATATCGTGGATGCAACTTGTGTCGCTTTTCCAGACGGAGATCCTCCTTGAATATGGTGCGTACTGTTTGTTGTTTGGGACACATGCACGGCTTTTGTCACTTTTGTTTATGTTTGTAGGTTTTCACCTGTTATTAGACGCCGTATTTTTTTACCATGTTTGGTATACGACTTGTTGCAAGTCTCTTTCTGTATGGTATTGGTACCCTAATCTGATCCATGTACCTTTATTTTCCAATGTAATTAAGTATAAAATATATCTCCATATTGGAAATTCTAAATCTCCGATCTGAACAGACCTTTATGAAATCATTTAATATATAAATATTATATCTATAACAATAAAAGACCCCCCCCCAGTGGCACAACGGTAGGTCTGCGGACTTATAACGCTAGAAACCCGGTTTCGATACCCGTGGTGGGCAGAGCACAGATAGCCTATTGTGTAGCTTTGTACTTAACTTCAATACAACAACAATAAAAGAGCTTGCCTGCGTGTGTCACCGCCATAGCTTCAAGAGAAAGGACCCTAGAGACCTGAAACTTTGCATCTCAGGGAATTCTGAGGGTGTGCAACTGGGTATTATTATGTTTTAGATTTGACTCATAAAATTTTGGCCAATTTTTTGCCCTTAAGACCATAATTCTGCTTCCTGAAGGCATGTAGAAAAGTATCATATTTTTTTCTAATTCCCACTTACTGAATGAACGATATGTGGAGGTTTTCTGCCAAATACTGTCGATAATACAAGTGTTGAACGTTTTACTCTTTCGGTTTGGGGCCATGAAGTTTTATTTGCTTAAATTGCATTTATAAAAGTGGAAATGTTTTCAGCTATAATATACTACTGTATAACTCTTTACTTCATAGGCTATTTACACCTTTAAATAATTTGTTTATTCTGTCACTTTGTGGTTACTATTTCAAAACTAAGTTATATACATAACAATGTAGAGAGATAAGCAGATGAGAAGCAGCAAGTTTTTACTAGGAAAGGGAAGGACTTGCCACTTGGGGGAGGCCGTGGCTACAGACGAGACTATCACCGAGTGTGATTGGTAAGTTTTTTCCCCAGTGGCTGCCATAATGAAGGTCATTATTGTCGGTTTGGCATTCAGTGAAACGTGAGATAAGAAGGAAAAGCTGAAAACAATTTTATGAGAAGATAAAAAAAGCTATTCATGACACATAGTTTCGCGACAGGAGGAAGAAAACACAGACACGATTATGCTCTATGTTGGTTTTAAAAATGTTACTGAAATTGAGATTTACATTTAGATATATATTCAATATAAATTATACATTAAAAACTATTCCATAATGCTACTTAATCAGGTATTGTAAATCTAGTGTAATGTAGTTACAACCACAGATTTAGGGACTATATGGTTGAAAATGACCACTACATTACCTACAGTATAAACCAGCTAGAGAATTTGAAACTCATGATGATTCGATTGATAGCCTTCTTGTCACAACTCCTTATTTTACAAAATTATATTGAAGGTAAAACTACCGATTAATTTTCAACCCCGTAATTAAAAAACAAACTTTAACTCATAAACTGTACCTAACAAAACTATCCCAAATACATCTATCTATATATATATAAACTGAAAAAAAAGGAAAAAAACATAAACTAAAAAACAATGACAACTCCCCAGGAAATTATAAAAAAAGTGTAGTTTTTAAACTTAAGGCATCTAAAGTGAGCTTTAGGTATACTAATAGATTTTAACCATTCCTTAACTTGACTCCCTATGGTAATGATGAATTTGCTGCAGAACTTGCTATTCGGAAAGTTCAAGCTGGAATTCTCTAATAATGAACGTTCAAACTCTTTAGGCTTGATTTTTCGGGTTATAGTTTTTAATTCTACTGATCTTGTTAGGCACCGTATTTTTTTAATATTATTAACTTCGGATCAATCGACTGTGTTGCCTCTCTTCCCTTTCAATTTTTAAACACAAACATGTAACGAAAGCTAAAATATCTCAATATATTTTGACTTTTGACGTTATTGTATTATTTACGTCACAAAATACGGTAATGTTTTGAAAAGAAATATTAATTGTGAAGTATTAAAGTAATTACTTTGAAAAGCATGAAAAACCGTGTGAGTGATATTAATAATGTAATACATTCAGTTGGGTCCAGTAATCACTATTAAAATAACTCTGACGAAAGCTATTTCCGAAAGTCATAGAAACTACTATAGAGGGCAGATTTGTATTTGCATTTTGTATCTATGGCAAGGCTACTACGGCTATCTGCCACTGTCCCTAATTTTGGGCTTCTTACCAGAGGTAAGGCAGCCAGTCAGTTAACAGCATTCTGTTATCTATCTATATATATGCCAATGCTAAAGGATTGACTGTCACTATTAGAGCGCACACACACACAGCTTAAAGTAAAGGGAGTTTTTTTTGTGGTATCATACGGATTCGAGCCCAGTAGACTAGAACTGGGAGAAGGGCAGGAGTCACTATTAGAGCGCACACACACACACAGCTTAAAGTAAAGGGAGTTTTTTTGTGGTATCATACGGATTCGAGCCCAGTAGACTAGAACTGGGAGAAGGGCAGGAGTCACTATTAGAGCGCACACACACACAGCTTAAAGTAAGGGAGTTTTTTTGTGGTATCATACGGATTCGAGCCCAGTAGACTAGAACTGGGAGAAGGGCAGGAAGGGTCTGAGATTTCCAATAAAATAACTTGGCTTTCTTGTGATTTGTATTTGTTGATTTTTAGCCAAGTTTTTAAAACGTCGGGGTTTTCAAGTTATTTTTTTATTTCTGTTTTTTACTTTCGTGGTGGAACTCCTTCAACAATTATACGCTTCCGATGGTACAGGATGGTGTAATAAAGTCCACGTGTATTGACGCTGTACAACTTTCTGTTCTTGTCGTAGTATGATAATAAAATATGAATCAAAAGGAATATAGTGAATGAAAAAATATGAATTAAGTTTTTTTATTGATTCAATATCTTGAAACAAAGTTGTGAATGCGTTATATTTACTATAATAATTTGTCAATATACTGTTGCACTCATACTCAAGTTTGTTGGTTATATCATTGTATGCATATATATATATATATACACACACATACATACATATATATATATGTGTGTGTGAGAATATACGTATATATATATATATATATATATATTATATGTAGGTGTGTGAATATATATATGTGTGTGTGTGAACATATATATGTATATATGTATATATATGTATGTATGTGTGTGTGTATATATATATGTATGTGTATATATATGTATGTGTGTGTGTGAATATATATATATATATGTATGTGTGTGTGTGAATATATATATATATGTATGTGTGTGTGAACATATATATGTATATATGTATGTGTGTATATATATGTATGTATGTGTGTGTGTATATATATATGTATGTATGTGTGTGTATACATATATATGTATGTGTGTGAACATATATATGTATATATGTATGTGTGTATATATATGTATGTATGTGTGTGTGTACATATATATACATGTATGTGTATATATATATGTATGTGTGTGTATATATATGTATGTATGTGTGTGTGTATATATGTATGTATGTGTGTGAATATATATATGTGTGTGTGAACATACATACATATATATGTATATCAATGAGTGAAGAGCAATCAAACAAAACTATAGTTTCGACTTCTCGCTTATTAAATTATAAGGCAAAAATGTAGGAAATTTTGCTATACCTGCCATGTCTGATATTATAAACACTCAACAATAAGGTATGAGAAAAAAATGATCAATTTCATGTTTTAAAAGTATATTTTGGATATGCGTGTCATTTCTTTTAAGTTCACACTATATCGATTTTACCAATTACCTATCTTACATGCGTTTAGTGACTAATTGATGCTGCTGTATTATATACATATATTTATAGTAACTAACTGAATTAAGTCTATTTGATATATATGCACAGTGTCTAACTGAAGTAATTATATTTATATATATATTTACAGTGACTAATTGAAGCTGCTGTATTATATACATATATTTATAGTGACTAACTGAATTAAGTCTATTTGATATATATGCACAGAGTCTAACTGAAGTAATTATATTTATACATATATTTACAGTGACTAATTGAATTAAATCTATTTTATATTGAAGAAATTTAGTTGAAATGTTCTCTGCAGCATCCTGGGTATAAATATATTACAAGACGTTTATATATATATATACGTGTGCGTTTAATATATTACAGCATGATTTTCCAAACGGACTATAATGTGAATACAAAATACGCCATATGTGAAGTATACCCATTTTTAAACAAACTACTACTTGGAAAGTCAAGTAACGTGTCAAAGAAATCATGGTTCGTTAGTAGAGGTCACTGTAGGTTTGTCCTGCCCACAAGACATGACATTTTTGCTCCTTAATTGGTGAAAGCGACAGATATGAGGACCAAAACGACAAATTCCCTCTTTTTATATGACGAGCGGACATTAATGAAAGAAATGATGATTAGCTTATACTTACAATCGATTCAGTTTGGATGTAGTTGAAAACAGCATGTCGGGTAAGGATCGAAGTTTGTTCCCGTTAAGCCTCCTGTGGAGAGAAAGGTAACACTGTAAGCAACTCGTTAGTTTCTGAAGCCATTTAATATCATCTTCAGAGAATCGCACTTTTTTACAAGCCTCTTTCGCAAGAAACTAACGCTAACACCTGAGATTCCATCAGGAATACTTTGAAAATTGTTGTAATCCGGGAATTAAAACTACACTGTTCGAGTAGTCATTCTGGTCTATTATTTGGTCAGTTACACGTAGTTATTTACTGGAAAATCGTATGACTGGTCATGCTGCTAAATGTAATCACTTGAAATCCGTCTATTTGTTCAGACGAGTTATGGTAGAGAAGGTGTAATAAACCTTTTACGTTACAACCTGTAACTAACAACAACCATAAAAACAAATATAGTTACAATCACTAATAAACAAAATGACATTCAAGTTATAGCCCCTGAACAACGAACGACTTTCCAATAATAATCTCCTACATAAAACTTCAGTTTACAACACCCTAACAAAACCATTACCAATTTACTAACCTTAGGAAAATTACTTTTCAGTTACAACGCTTAACCAATAAAACGACTTTTATTATAAAATTCCCCAACAACAATAAAACTGGCCATCAACTTACACCTCCTAACTACCAAAATTACCTTGAAGATATAATTTCTAATTAATAAAACAAGCTTCAACTTGAGCCCCATTCAAAATAAGTAAAAATACAACCCTTAACTAACAAACAAACTTTCAGATATCAATAGCTTACCTCCAAGTCACAAGTCCTTATCTTACAAAATCACATGTAAAATACAACCCTTAACTAACAAACAAACTTTCAGATATCAATAGTTTACCTCCAAGTCACAAGTCCTTATCTTACAAAATCACATGTAAAATAAAAACCCTGATTAACAAAACAAACTTCAAATTATTAATCCTAACAGAACAGTCATTAATTTGCAACCCCCGTATCTAAAAAACAAACTTTAACTCATGAACTGTAACTAACAAAACGATCTTAAGATAAAACTCTCCAAGTACCAAAAAAATAGAAAAAGAGTATCAAGTCACAAACCTTAAGTAGCAAAACAGGCATCAAGTTACAGTTCTTAACTAATTAATCAATCTTCATACTATAACTCCTAACTATCAAAACCACTTTCAAGATAAAGCTCCTTAACAAAACGATCTTAAACTACAAACCTTAACTAACAAAACGACCTTCAGGTTACAAACATTAATTAACAAAATTATCTTCAGGTTACAAACATTAACTACCAAAACAACTTTCAGATTACAAACCTTAACTAACAAAACGACCTTCAGGTTAGAAACATTAATTAACAAAATTATTCTCAGATTACAAACCTTAACTAACAAAACGACCTACAGGTTACAAACATTAACTAACAAAACGACCTTCAGGTTACAAACATTAACTATCAAACTCTTGGACTTTTCTTCTCGGAAAAATATAATGAGATGTAACCGTTATTTGCATAGCGCACCCACGTGCCCAGAGTATGGATAGCATTTTTGCAGCAACAAGATGCGAACATTCAATCCCTGGATTCACAGTCGAAGCATCCTACCCACTAGGACACGCCCAGTCTAGTGAAAACTTTGTCTTACATGCTCTTTTACAATTTTACTTGAACATATGTATACAATCACCGTATGCTATAAACCCATATTATTTCAAAGTCATAACGAGATAGATGTTGCAGGTGAAATGTAATTGAAAATATTTATTCCTAGAAGAATAGCACAGATAGCCCATTGTGTAGCTTTATGCTTAACTTCAAACAACAACATCCTAGAAGAATAGCACAGATAGCCCATTGTGTAGCTTTATGCTTAACTTCAAACAACAACATCCTAGAAGAATAGCACAGATAGCCCATTGTGTAGCTTTATGCTTAACTTCAAACAACAACATCCTAGAAGAATAGCACAGGTAGCCCATTGTGTAGCTTTATGCTTAACTTCAAACAACAACATCCTAGAAGAATAGGCCTACAAAACATACATTTGTATTTGTTCGACAGTTTTGGAACACTCAAATTCATTTTTTTGTAAGTTTTCTCTGACTAAGAAAACAATATAACACCATATTGACCTCTTGAAAAGGCTAGTAATGTTTAAAGAAGAAATACTTTGTATACATTCATAACAAACCAGTATAACTATGAATAAATAATTAACAAAAATATGGGGACTAGTTTAGACAAGCCAAGCTTATCATTCTCAAAGGACGGAATTATTTAACCTGAACGAAGAAGACGCTGAGGACAGTTTTACTCCGTCCCTTGAGAATGAAAAGGTTGATTAGTAGTGTGTTTTATAAAACACAGGGCATATAAAGAGAACAACGACAAACATGACTGATAAATCCATAACACAAATTTTATGTATGTCCAGATTAAACAATATAAAATAACTGTTGTTTCAAAGCCCTTGTTCTATTCCTATTGTCTTGTGCTCTTCCACAGCAGTGTAATGCCTAACAGACATTATTATATGTATATATATTGGGAAAGCTACGTGGAAAAAAACAACTGGATGAATACAAAGTACATCTTCCAGATGCTCAGCAGCCATAATAATGAGTAAGGATACTTGAGTAAGGAAGTACATTACGCTGATATAATTATAGGTGGGCAAACAACGATTTATAAACATAAGGAATAATTTTATTGATGATGGAACATGCTATATGTTTTGCCAGAGCATTGAAGAAGACAAATCAATGTTCTGTTGAAACATGTAGTATGTATGTTCCATCATCAATAAAATTCACCCTTATGTTTATAAATCTTGTTTGCTTACCGGTTATTAACGGGTAAGGATTTTTGTAACGCTATGTGGTTGAAACAACTGGATGAATACTAACTACATCTTGCACATGCTCAGTAACCGTGATTACGTGGCTGAAAATAACTGGATGAATATCAACTACATCTTGCACATGCTCAGTAACCGTGATTACGTGGCTGAAAACAACTGGATGAATACTAACTACATCTTGCACATGCTCTGTAACCGTGATTACGTGGCTGAAAACAACCGGATGAATACTATCTACATCTTGCACATGCTC